ATGCGTTGCTGACCATGGAGGATGCTAACGCCTTTTTTGAAGAACCTCATTCTGGTTGGGAGAGCCACACGCTTCCATCTATCTACTACATCTTTGCAAGCCAGTATATATGTATATTGACTAGTAGTTATAGCAATTTAATACTCAGTTACTTGAAATATTTGGTGAACTTTGATTTATTCGGACTATCTTTAACTACTCTTCTTCCGATATAACCATTAACCAACTAATTAGGTTTGACCTCTATCCGTTCTGTTCCTATTCATCGTAAAATGTTTTCAGATAGCCTATAAAGCTCAACAAACATTGAATGCGCTATTAAATTCGTTCTCAGTTACGAGTTTTCTTCAGAAAGTAAAATAATTGTGGCTCGTTCTATTTTTTTTAAAGATAAGCCGGAAAACGAGCAGCGGGATCACCTGATGGTAAGCTATCAGCGTCGCCCATGGACACTTGGAGCACCAGAGGCGTAACAAGTACGTAACCGGCCTTTTGGGATTAGTAATTTGAGCAATGTCGGGGATTCAGGGATTGGAGAAATTGGGGAAGGGGAGATAGTTGGGCCTCCGGTATCCTTGCGTTGTTTCACGTCGGTTTTCTGTGAGGCCGTGGTAAAACAAAGCAAACCAAACTTCTCTTGTTCTTGTCAGTTATTTCTAAACGTATGAAGGCAAATGTAATGTGACTAATCAAGAACTAATCAAGGTATTTTCGAATATTACGATACAGACATTGTTTAGGTGTTTTTGGTCGCTAGTAGTGCTCATATCAGACACTGTTGTATATGCTGAGTAGGTATTGTTTGTACGATTTTTTTTAAGGGGACAAAATCATCGAATGACTGCCTCCGCCTGGGTGAGGCGGGAGGGAGTGTCAGACTCTTACTGACTAAAAACCACCCCGTTCCTTCTCCTGCACGTCGAGCCGGAGTCCCGGTAACCCTTTGGATGCATAGTCAAACCTTAAAACCTACTTGTCTTTTATTACTTTTTATTGGTTATGTCTAAATCGATATCTCGGGTTTCTGGTGACTACTCTACAAAAGGCAAGGCAAACGGCTATGAATTAAGGAGTTAATAAGTAATTTATTACCTATACGAATTATATCCGTTAAAATAATCTCTGTATCATAAACGCATTGGTTACGTCTACGCAGGGCTAAGAATTCGTCATGGATTTGCGGTACCAGACGCTCAGATTTCGAAACAGGTCGCATTTAGTAATTGTTACCAAAGTGGGACCGCTGTGGAGTTTTAATCCAAAATCATTGTTCATTGTGCGGCTCATAAACTTGCATTACGTTGAAAGGAGCTCTCAATTTGTGTGGGGTGGATTATACACTGTGGGCGGACCGTTATTTCTTTATTTCTATTTAGTTTGACGTTTCAACCAGAGAACCAGGTTGTCGAGATAATCAGAGTCGTCTGACGTGAAGCAGACTTATGCAAAAACGTATGTAGGAACCAATTCTTAAGAATTAGTTACGAGACTGCCTCGTTGGCCGAGTGATCGCAAGTGCGACTGCCGGGCAAGGGGTCTCGGGTGCGATTCCCGGGTCGGGCAAAGTATTACTGGGTTTTTAAAAATCTCAGTAGTAGCACGGAGTCTGGAATTGTGCCCGGTATATGGCAATAGGCTCACCCCCTATTACATGGGACTCATAACATAAATAGTGAAAAGTGGGTGTTACATTGTACAGTGGCATTAAGTGCCGTAATGTGCACCTCTGCCTACCCCTTTGAGGATAAAAAGGCGTGATGTTATGTATGTATGTAATTAGTTACGTTTCGTGTCGTGTACAAATGTTGTACAGGCTCTCCTTAAGCTTCCTTCCTGATGTTGCCAATTGTATTGATTGTGGAACACTTCAGTTAAATATGAAAGAGTTATTTATTAATAGACAATACTATATTTATTTCAATAATTTAATCTGTTTTTTTTTATATTTGATGGGCCGTCGTTTGACTATTATCTCGCCCGGTGATAAGCGATGATGCGATCTACGATGGGGCATATCGTCCCATAAGCAATCATTTCACAATTTAGATAACTAACTACCTACTTTAAAACGGAAAAAAAATCGGATCAGATATAAAAAAAAACCATTACAGCTACAGATCACGGGTTCTTGAAAAACATCGATTCGTTTGAGATTACAACATTAAAGTTCCATTAAATATATTTTTTTGTTTTTCAACTAAGTAAAGTTTAAGTATTTTACTTGCGACAAAACATTTCTAAACAGCCTTGCTCAAGCTTTTTGACTTTCCAAATTCTTTAAAATAAGTAGACGTCATACATGTTCTATTCTTCGTGTCTCTTCACCTTTGACACTGGGAAAGCATTTAGTTACACGATTAATCGCATTGTCGATCACTCGCAGTCGCAAGTCAGTCGCGTAAATATCCTAAATTCCTCTGCGCCTAAGTCCGAGGTATGCAATATGCATAGTTGTAGAGGAATGTACCAGAATGACTATAGATGTGGTTGCGTTTAGTTACTATGTCAGAATTCCTAGTTGCAGCTTTCTAAATACTTGGAAGTTAACTAGTTGGCTATTGTCAACTATTGTTAGTAGCCAAGTACAAATAGGTAACTGAGTATAATCGAACCTTTGGGTCTACGTGAGTGACTGGCTGCTTAAAGGCTGAAATATTACTTTATTATATCTGTTGGGTGTTCATTGTGTCATCCGCAAATATTTGTTCAGTGTCTAGTCTTTTTATACTAACGCTCCAACGACAAGGAGAAATCTGAGTGTGGTGTGGTGTGGGGCAAAGTTTTTTTACATAACATCACGCCTTTTATCCCCTAAGAGGTGAGGCAGAGGTGCACATCATGCCACTGTACAATGTAACACCCACTTTTCACTATTTGTTATGAGTTCCATGTAATAGGGGGTGAGCCTATTGCCATATACCGGGCACAATTCGAAAAATACGAGGAAGTAATGGGTAAACTTACCATAGGGTAGTTAATGCATTTATTTACGAAGAGACATTACAAAACACCAAAAGACATGACTTTAGAATGTTATCTCTTTCGCTTCATCTACCTACTCATGCTCCTCATTTGAGGGTGCTTTTAAATTGGCCCTTACAGCTCCAGTATTTTAGTCAACAGTTGTTACATATTTTTAGTTCAGTGATAAGACTAGAGTTAAACGTCAATGAGATAATATAAAAGAAACAAGTAAATTACTAGGTACCTAAATAACAAACTATATTAAGTTGTTAGGTATCTGGATATCTTACAAGCTAACAACATGTGATGAACTTATGACCTAGACCTTAGAGAGATATCGTACGTACCTATCCACTTACGACAAACAAAGCTTATTCACACAATTAGAACATCATTTGTTTCGCTACTGTCGAATAAAGATGATGAAATGCCTAGTCGATTATCGCAACATCTTTTGAACTCGGATGCTAAACAAATAGCTATCTAAGTTTCAAACTATAATTATTCAGTTTGTTGTTTAAAATATTTGCCGGTAGTTTAGTAAGACTTGTCAATGATTCAGTTCTATTCAAAGAAACCAACTATTCCAGTGGCAACAACCCACACATCGACACAATACTAATCCGAATTAATCACTAAATTAACTAAACAACGTTAATGAGAATCTTTTGGAACTATTCCAATAGGAATCGTTAAACTTTACAATCTGTTTACAAACCTAATTAACCCGACGCAGTCAATAATGCGAGATTTATGTACGAGGGCGAAGGGCCGCCGCCGGAGCCCTGAATGCAATAAAAGAACGAAAAAATACGCATGCCGCATTGACAGGATACAGGATAAGCACTACCAGTGCCTAAATTGGACAGAATTAATAAGAAATAAATAAAATGAACGAGAATATAAATTAACTACAATACTTGCTAAAGCTCGAGTCGGACCATAAAACAATAAAGTATGTCCTTTATAAGTATATGCAAGTTGTCTAGCGTCGAGTCGGGAGAAATCGACTTCGATAGCGATATCAACTTTAAAATGATACATCAGATACGTTCAAGTATTTAAATTTCATCTAGATGCAATTTTCTGCATAATTACACAGATCCTGTTATTAGCGGCGGTTTCAAGACCAACGATCGATAGCAAATGTTAATATTTATAAGGAGCTTACCTTGAGCGTATGTAAACAAATGGAGACAGGCGAACAAGAATATCCAGTTCCCGACACCGAAACGACACATCCCTGTCCGGCACATGTTGCAAATCACTTTAACAACACTACACAATATGTTTTAATTCATACGAATCACATTTTCACATAAAATTCACGTTAATTTTGTGATTATATTCACAAAGCTAAATGTCGATGTTACTACGGACGAGCCGCCATCTTCGAGCGAGTACCGCTGCGTTCGGAAACACAACTCAATAATGAAAGGGCAATGTCCGGCAACTTCATGTAGAGTGAAGCTTGCAGCGTTTGAGGGTTAATCGCCTTGAAGATAGCCACAGAAATAGTGCAAATCTTTCATGCTGTTTTAGTCGACGAAAAACTCAGTATAATCGATGTCACATAAATAAAGCTAAAACTTTATTTACAATAATGTATAAGCCACATATTTTTTCGATTGGTTTTATTTAATATATAAAGGTGTATATAACAACCAAAGTAAAAAAGAAAAAGCCACTAGCTTAGTGTAAGTTAATACAAGAAGTCTGTAAAATGGTTTTGTTGGAAATAATTGGAAAACAAAATAATAAATAAGGCAATTAAATTCAGTAGAAAGCTTTATAACAAAGCCAATTAAAAATTAGTTAACTAATACGTATTAGTAACAACGTTACAACATTTGATTTATGACAGTGTCAATGATGTGTGACACTGACAGTTGCAGTTGTAGTTTGTGATTGTCAGAGTTTGGCTTGCTTACGCTCTGAACTTTTAGTTGCAAATGCATTATTTGCTTATTTTATAAAGAAAAACCTAATGTAAATATAAATAACGTCATAAGTGAAACTGAAACTTACATTACAAAATGGATTTAATATACTCAATGAGGCGAAAGCCTCTGAATTGTGAACCGCCACATTTCGAAAGGTAACACAACAATTTGTTTGGGTTTGATTTGTATGTATTTTCTTTGATAGTGGGGCATTTTCTACAGTTATATTTCAGTCAGCATGGGTAATAGTATCTTTTGTGCAAGAAAATTGATATGTGTAGCCGTTAACTATAGTAAAAATAGATAACAACTCCATCATATGCAAAGAACTATTTTGTTTAGTTGTCTTGTCTTGTGCCTTGATATTTGCATTGAAGTGGTTTACAATTGTGTAGAGTAATGTTTGCGTTTATGCCTGCAGCTTATGAGGACTTGAGTTACTGGAATCATTAAAATTAGACATAATAAATTTAGTGTATGACTTATGTCGCTTTTGCATAGGTTCCCATTACTTGGAAATGTTTATCATCTTGTTAAGTTGTGTTATTTTGTCCCTCAAACATTAGCTTTTATTTAAATTTGATATCTGCTTTCATTTTTGTTTCACCACAAACTTCGGATGTCCTAAATACATACATGTCAACTATTTTTAACATGTAAATTTTTTTCTTCCTTCTTTCTTTCATTTACTGAGAAATAATATCAATTCCATCTCCTTTTTAGTGTAACAGACCATGAAGTGGTCCGTCCAATCTGCACAATTTCAACATGCAACATCATTGCGTTCTCTTCCCCCACGGAGCTGAATGACACAGAGGGGGACACGTGGGGTGGACATGTGTATGTGTGTGACCTCGACACTCCATGGGACAGTCACAGGGTTACAGGGAGTGCTTATCCTGTAAGTTTATTATTGGACTTCGATGAAAAAAAGTGAATTATCTGTACAGAGATCAATCATTTCGTACTTTGACTCTATCAACTTTATCACATTATGCGATTGTAATTATCTGAGTAGTTTATAACAATATATTTGCATAATGCCAGACTCGTACATACTATTTTGTAATCAATTTAATAAATAAACAGTTAAATACTCAGCTAGTCGGACAATCTACTTAACTTGTGTAGCAAAGAGAAAAATAGTCATTCAAATCAATAATCTCACTAAATGATGATAAATATAACCTAACACTAGACACACATGACACAAGTCATGTATCTAATATTTTTAAAAACAAAAATCATGTCCACTGCTGAACCTTCAAAACTAGTATCCATATCAGAACATACATTGACATTTCAGATATCAGTCCTAGAATGGGACATAGAAGGCAAGCAGTTACTGGTGGCAAACACAGTAGGAGAGGTGTCGGTATTCACACAGAAGGACTACCTGCTCAATGAGTGGACCTGCATCTACACTGCCAGCTTCCCAGGTTCGTTGCACGTCATAATCATCATCCTATAAGTGGCCACTGCTGACCAAAGGCTGTTGGTGTCCATATGGAAAAGGTTTGAGCATTAATCACCACACTTGCTCAATGTGTAATAACTCTAAGTTTCCTTACGGTGTTTCCATTCACTGTTTGTCAGCAGTGTCGAGGTAATCATAGAAAGTACATATAACTCGGCTAAAGTCACATTGGTACTTGCCATTGGTAAATTTCGAACCCGCACTCTCATACATGAGAAGCGAGTGTCTTAAACCTCCAGGCCACTATGACTAATGTTGACACATAATATTTTGTAATAAGAATAATGAAGTTATTAGTTGTACAGAAAGGTGTTACATCCTAGTTCCAAGAAACCCCTACAGATAGACCACAGAATAGTTAAAAATTTAGTATCTTAGTTCTCATTTAGTCGTTAGACAGCTAGACGCTAGATTACATACAGCTAGACACTGCTGATTATCTTAATAACTAAATATCAAGATGTTATGTAAACTAGACCGAGTTCCACATTCAAAACTTCAATCCCTGGTTGTTACCTCATGACTGAGGATTGATCGTGATCATCTTGGCATCACTCTGGATTGGACAAGTTGTCTCTATCGGCTCCTATCTGCTGCCATTTGTATTGTGGTATTTGTGGTATAGAACCGGGATGCTGGGTTGTCCTTGAGCTGGTCAGACCATCTGGTTGAAGATTGTCCTCATGTCCTTCTCCACTCTACATGTCCCATGACAATGAGTTTCTCCAATCTATTCAAAACTTACCCTTATTATTTATATATCTTCTAATTTAACCTAGCATTAAAAGTCAATCCCTAACTGCTGATGAAGCGAAAGAGGTATGTAACAATCGTAGCAATCAATAGTCTCTGCCTACCCTCATGTGAGACAGTCGTCAGCTAATGTGTGTATGTGATCCCTTAAGTAATAAACATGTAGAATACATTTTTAGACCTGACATTATCAATTTATACTATATTATTTTCATCAGGGGAACACATAATTGGCGCGTCGTTCTTCCACAACGGACGTCGCACTGTGATGGTGGACAAGAAGCCAGACGCTCCCATCTCTGAGCGGATACAGATGCTGAGATGTGCGCCCACGCTCAAGGGATTCGGGTAAGTATCATTTTGTTCATAGAGCCTAACAGTAATCTACGGTGGATTAAACCTTCGATCAACAATAGCAACTAGATAGAGTGTTACGTACAAAATCAAGCTCCAGTTCTGTCCGTGTGAATAATAATAGTAAAAAAATAACAAACAGAGAAAAATGTTTTAAAATGGTTTTAAGTTCAACCTAATTACAACCATGGCACCTAATAATAAAGTCATAAATCGTCAAAATATTATCTAATACTTACGACCATTCGTCACATAAGATGAGAAAAGCATTTTCTTACTCCTGTCATGTAGAAATTAAAAGACATAAGTTATACAATATCTAGTTTAAATTCAACCTTAAGCTAGAACAAATAAAGATATTTTTTCCGTTATTGCCTTATGATCTATATCGTTTTGTTTTGTTTCGTTTTGCTTCTTCGAATTTCGCTACAGGAGGTATGTATGGAGTCGCGTTGAACACTAAAATAATTTTATAATATGAAAATTAAGATTTTGGGATCTTAGTATACATCACTTATTTTTATTAGCGGTACGTTTTTGTGTATGATATGTTTATTTACTTTATCATTAAAAGTCTAAGTCAAAATCATTTATTTCAGTTAGACCAGGAAGGCACTAATTGAACGTCAAAAATATAAATTTAAAAGTGAAGCTATTTGCTCCAAGGTGTAGATTCCTATGGAGAAGAACGAGCAAAAAACACCATAGGTTAGGTATTATTTTCCAATCAGGTTACAATACAAATTTGTTTTACAATACAAATCGACTCCATGCATCCACTGTTCTATTTAAACAAATGTTTGTGCGCGTGTTGGCGAGGCTTGGCCAAGGGTTCGCCAACACACGCACAAACATTGGTGACAATTATAAAAATTGGTAATTTTGTCTAATTTGATATTATTTACTAATTTAAAAGCTTAAAATATAACTTATACTTTATGTACTTATCGAAAGTAAAACACTCCGGCCGCTATACTGCTTTTTCGGTTATTATTTTTGCAACTTGCAATTACGCACTGCAGCATCGTGAGACGTGATTACGTTGGCCATGTTTGGAGCATACTAAACAAAATAAGAGCTCACTTCTCAAGTGAGCTCTTATTTGTCGAGACGATTTTCTTGCGCCGACCCGATATCTAGTTGTTATTGTTGATCGAAGGATTAAACCTAGTGAGCGGTCTAGGCAAGCACCTAATTGATGCCTTTGTTTTTTTACCGCTGCCGCCATTCTGTGGGCAGTTGGACATGAGCATCTCGTAGCGCCTCTCTGTAACCACCCGCCCTAACCACTTGCCTAGATTACCTTAGGGATAACTGGCTCTGACCATGTGTATAATTGATTGTCATAGCGGTGTGGCGAGTGAGGGCGCGTGTATAGTGACCGCGACCGGCCTGGTGGGGGCACTCACTCCCCCCGCGGAGGGCACGCGCGCCACTGTCACCACTGACTGTCTGCGACCTACTAGGGATCATATCACTGCTGTCAGCATCGCGCATAAAAGTAAGTATTACACAAAGTGATTGATGATAGAATCGATTAGTCGATGTCAATCGATTCTATCAGACCAATCGATCGATCGTGGATTGATGCCGTCGATGGTAGAATGGATTACGGTTGAAATTAAGAACTTATGTCAATCTAAAATCCGTGAATTAAGACCGGTTTTTAACAGAAACTATCCATACAATTAATGTCAAAAATCGATCCATATCTACAAATTTTGAATTCCGATAGGTTATTAATATCGGCCGTTAATCGACGTTGATCGAAAGTTTCTACCAGATCAATAGACCATCGAGAAGTCATCGACCGGTATCCGTCGATCAATTAAACACCGAATGATCAATGTCGACCGACAGCATCGATCGCCGATCGATCGATTGATGTGTTAACACCTTAAAGCGGACTTGAAATGTATTTCTGTGAATGAATGCGTTGACTATATTGTATCGTCCCGGTATACAGACGGCAGCCTGGCCGTGGCGATGGTGTGCCGCGGGGGCGGGGGCGGGGGCGCGGGCGGGGGCGCGCGGCGCTGGTGCGTGCGCGTGGTGTGCGTGGGCGTGGCGGCCGCGGCGCTGCGCCTGGAGCCGCTGCCCACCATCTACCTGCCGCCGCAGGACGCGCAGCCCGGTGCGTACTACATATTGACACGACATATTTCAGGGATTCATATTTCCATTATTAACTCCTTGACCGTCAGTATATGAAGCATAATGTGGGAGAGCCATGCTTCGGCACGACCGGAGTGATACCACGGCCTCACAGAAACCCGACGTGAAGCAACGTTTACGTTGTGTTTCGTCGTGTGAGTAAGGTTACCGAAGGCCCAATTACCCTCCCTTTCCCCAATCTCCCCAATTCATAAATCCCCAACGATCCTCAAACTCCTAATCCCCAAAAGGCCGGTAACGCACTTGTAACGCCTCTGGTGTTCCAGGTGTCCATGGGCGACGCCGATTGCTTACCATCAGGTGATCAATCTGCTCGTTTACCGGCTAATGCCATAAAAAAATAATAGTCATATGCACTGTGTCTCGCATAGTTCCGCGCATGGACGCACAATGAATTAAGTATTGACCCCCATGAGATTAGCTGCGATCCACAGTAAAAAAATGAAGATCCAAAATTCTTCCTCTAAACATTCACTTGACTTTAAACATAGAGACATACATAAGCATAACATCACGCCTTTTTTCCCCGAAGGGGTAAGCAAAGGTACACATTACGGCACTTAAAGCCACTGTACAATGTAACATTCACTTTTCACTGTATATGTATCATGTAATAATCTATTGCCACATACCGGGCATAATTCCAGACTCCGTGCTACTACTGAGAAATTTTTAAAACCCAATAATAAAAAAGTCACTTTATTTTAAACATGATACATTTATTTATTTATTTATTTATTTATAAACTATATACATACTACTATCCTAACAGGAACTAATACCTAATGCAATAGTGTATGCCAATATTAATAAAATTAAATTACAAAGTCTAATTTTACAATTTGGTACTACAACATTTATAACTATGGTAACAAACATATTCCTTAGGCCATGTCACAGATGGGTACAGGTATAGTAACAGGCTCTTCTGAATTCGTTCAGTATGAACATGATATATTACTTAAGCGATGCTATTCTTGTGCCTTGTCGGACCGCAGCTTTACATGTACGCTCATGGACAGGACAATTTTCTCTACCCTGGCACTACCAGACACTCCAAGTCATCACCATTGTTCTGTGATACATGAGTTTTGATTAGAATGCGTGCTTAAACTAAAATAGAGTTGTACTTATCTTTAAGTAATCATTTGGGAAATTACTGTCTGTATCCAATGCAGTTTCGATATCATGGTGCGGTCGCGAGGAGTGTGACTCGCTACTGGTGGCCGGGGCCGCGCTATCTCTTTGGAAGTGCACTGAGAGAGCTCACCAAGTACACAAGTTGTTTGCTAAAGGTAAGGTTTCAAAATAATAGTAATTGTAATTTTTCGGGCTTGCTCGACTAATTTCGGGAGCCTTGATTAAGGGCTCCGTTGTGACTCAAAATAAGTCGAGCATCTTACGTATAAGAGAAGGTCATGATTATAGAATCGTATAAATGTAACTGTTTCTCTTCGGAACATAGTTTGAAATACATTTTGTCTGTAATGTCTATAATATCAAAAACGATTTAATAATTTATATTTCTAATAACCATCGCAAGACGCTAAATACTGGGTACTTACCTTAATCAAAAATAAAAGATTTCGACTGTTCAATACAACAAAATATTAAAAAATAATCACACTTCCATTAATTGATTTTATAACCAACTTAATTTTAGTATTCTTCCAGCAATTTTTTAAGAAATAAGTATACTGTCGCTAAAAAAACGTGACGTCACAATACACAATCTCATACAAAATTCATAGAAAACTTTCGTTTTTGACAGTACGAAAAAAGAAGCAAATACCCAATGTGGCGACACATGCCACATGTCAACGGATGACGTCACAAGAATCCTACATCGCACATGCAAAGTTTACAAGCGAATAAACACGGATAGAAAATCCCAACGAACAACGGTTGGGCAGAAAGCCCGCCAGGCACGATCACCTCGCCTGGTCCGAGGATCCTCCTTTTCCGATCTTAGGGAACTATACTCTCTGTTCCCTAAAGTGGTGACCCCGACGTGATTGGAAACAACCTTCACTTCACGGAGCAGATTAGCACCGTCATCCGTATCGCCATCCCTCTCATTCATCACTTCGCCGCTGAGCGGTAATCAAGTCGCAGCCAACCAGCATCCTCGGCCTCATCAGGGACCACCATCGCCTGCAACGAAGTCGTGCAGCCTGGTTCTTCCCTACGGCCTCACCAGCGTCTAGGCACAGCACTTCTGCACACGGTCTGAAGGACATCTCCTCCCGTCAACGCAGATGCCGGCCACTACGCACCTACCCTCGCAGCATCTCTTCCCCGACTCACCGTGGGACACTGCGAACGCACCTCTCCGACTCACTGGAGTTTCACCCTGCACCGCTGACCCGACTCACTGGGCACTCAGCGGCACGGTTCCGACCCACTGGAACTAGGGACTTTCTACACTGGCTCTGGCACCGCTCATCTCAAGCATCGACAGCCGTCTCAGCGGGATCGACCTCCGGTCTTGGGAGGGAGTGATGTGGCGACACATGCCACATGTCAACGGATGACGTCACAAGAATCCTACATCGCACATGCAAAGTTTACAAGCGAATAAACACGGATAGAAAATCCCAACGAACAACGGTTGGGCAGAAAGCCCGCCAGGCACGATCACCTCGCCTGGTCCGAGGATCCTCCTTTTCCGATCTTAGGGAACTATACTCTCTGTTCCCTAAACCCAATTATAAAACATTTGTACGGTTCACTCTCTTTGTTATGTTTCGAGGATACCCGACTAGTTTCGAGCCTTATCAGAGCACGTAATTATGACCTCGTGAGTGGTTTAAACAAAAGAAATTTTGTGTAAGTGTACAATGTAGATATTATTATTGTCTGTACCTAGGTCCTCTACAAGGCAGTACTACACCTGGAGGTGGCCCCAAACCTGGTCTAGATTGCTTCAGTACTCTCGTAAGTTATTTATTCTATTGTAATTTTTGTTAATAAATGTGCAAGTTAGATTTTTCTTATTTTTGCAGTTTTAATTGTTGAAATAGGTTAATATATTTTTGAACCAGCAATATTAAAACGAAAAGAGCAATGCTAATAGTGTTTAATTTATAAATTAGTAATAAATCTAGTGTGCATATTTAATCGACTAATATTCCTTTTTTAAATTTTCTATATTTTTAATTAAGTTTTAACGTCTTTCTGAGAAATATTTTACCACTACGTGAACCTAGTATTCGACTTCTTATGCGTGCGTGAGAGCGTGGTTGCATGTTTGTACTAAAAACAGGATATTAGGAAACTATTCTCGATTGCTTATAAGCTTTTATTTAACTTACAATGTTGAAGCAGATATCTGTAACAGATTAAGTTGAAGTTTTGTATATCCGTCTAGTTTGTATGAACATATGTGTGTATAAAAGCTTGCTCTAAAAAAGATTTCAATTTCTGTTTATAATAAATACCGTGAGACATACTAAATTAATTAAAAATAACGGTTTGCTCACGTCAATGTACTAAAAAAAGCTCTACTAGTTTCGAGTCACTGAGGGATTCTTCTTCATGAGTAGCATGCGCGGTCGCGGCCATGTCGCGCAGCTTACTGTGACTCGAAACTAGACACAAGCTTTCCTCAGTATATTTACGTGAGTAATCTGTAATTTTTAGTTTTGATTTTTGATATATGTACGTGCACCGTGCAGGCGTGGCAGAAGACGGCGGCGTGGGGCGTGGAGGGCGGCGAGCGCGGCGTGTGCGCGGCCAGCTCGCGGCACCCCGGCGCGCCGCCGCACGCCGTGCTCGCCACGCCGCGCGCCATACACCTGCTCGCCCGCGACACGCACCACTACGTGAGTACAGCGCGCCCGCACCCAGACCCGAGCGGTACACGTACGCCTCAAAGAGCCATCAGACCACCACAGATAGGGCCCAGTAGGACTGATGCCGATACGGAGCCGCGGAGGACTTAACAGGTTACCGAGGCTCCGGCTCGAAGTGCAGGAGTAGGAACGGGGTGGTTTTTAGTCAGTAAGAGTCTGACACTTCCTCTCGCTTCACCCGGGCGGGAGCATTGATGCGATGAATTTTATCATTTAAAAAAATTGTCTTGTAATAATTAAAAAACTACCAAGACTACTTTTTTTTAATGCCAATGGTTATTTTTAAATCGATTTAAAAGTTTTGCAATGTCTAATTAAGCAAAATTATCGTGACATGACATGAAAGGATCCTGACTAAATCGTTTCCAAAGAATGGTAGGTAAAAATGTGTTACATTTTGTCCATGTTATTATTAGGTCCAGCAGTAAGACACCATGGATCGGGTTAAACCTGTGTTTCAGGCTATCACAAAGCTTGAGTCAAATTACTCCCATACAGCATATATGGATAATTAAAATACATATTACTTCTGTCAGATATGCAGTCGCGCAGTAGTAACTACAGGCGGCCTGTCCGCGGTGGAGGCAGCCTCTACGCCGCCCAAGAAAACTAAATATGGACCCAATGGTGCACCGGTGAGTGATTAACTAACATACATGTAAATACAGAGGATTTTATAACTATTGTCGTGCTGAATAAACAAAGAGTAAAACCGAAGGATTGTCGCATACTTATCTATTATTGTGTTTGAACTTAATCAAGAGACAGACTTGTGTTTTTATATAAGATTGGTCGGCAAACGAGTAGAAGGATCATCTGATGGTAAGCAATGCGCGCCACCTATGGATGCAATACTAGAACAGTTAGTTAGGTTAGTAATCAGAAGATTGAGAGAGGGGTAGTTTCCTAAATTTTATTTTAATGTCCGTCTGGTCTGGTAGATTAATTTAAAACATTAGACACGTATTTTTTCTTTTCTCACAAAATTAAATACGTTCGGCGATATATTAATTTGAAATATCGTGTGACGTCACAGCGTGCTATATTTTGTAGCACTTAGTGACGTAACTACCTCCCACTTCTAAACTTAACGCCATTTTTTCTAAGTATTGTAACTTTAGACGAGTTAGTAAAAAAATACGTGTCTAATATGTTTTCATTATCTGACTCAGGGCTGTCCAAACTATAAACTCTCGCGGGCTATTTAAATTTCTTACAAAAGCTGAAAGGCCAGATAAATGTTTTCAGTTGTATAATGACGTTTAACATTGTATTCTTTACTCACAGACAAAACTTGTAGACAAATCGTACGCTGAATTTTATTATTGTTGTTGCACGTAAGATGAAGATGTTGAGATTAAAATGTGTGTCGCGGGCCACATGAAAATGAGCTGCGGGACGCATGAGGCTCGCGGGCCTAAATTGGACAGCCCTGATCTAACTTACGGACTAATTCGATTTTTAATTTTCATACCCTGGCAACTGAGGTGGCCCAATTAGCCTCAATCAGGATTTCCTTGCCATTATTGACAAGGCTACAAATAAACAAATATTGTTTCACACCGGCTTTCTATGATAGAAGTAGAAACTTCCATTATTATTTAACCGACTTGTCAAAAAGGAGCAGGTTATGAATACGTGTCCATGTTGTCCGGCAGGGCGGGGCGGGGTGCGCGATAGTGTCGTGCGTGGAGATGTCGCACCTGGGCGGCGTGCTGGTGGCCGTGGACACGCACGCCCAGCTGCACGTCTACCGCCTGCCGCAGCCCGCCGCCGACATACGTGAGGACATTGCATTCGTTCTACCTTCTATATATTATAACGCACTGGGCGGCGTGCTGGTGGCCGTGGACACGCACGCCCAGCTGCACGTCTACCGCCTGCCGCAGCCCGCCGCCGACATACGTGAGGACATTGCATTCGTTCTACCTTCTATATATTATAACGCACTGGGCGGCGTGCTGGTGGCCGTGGACACGCACGCCCAGCTGCACGTCTACCGCCTGCCGCAGCCCGCCGCCGACATACGTGAGGACATTGCATTCGTTCTACCTTCTATATATTATAACGCACTGGGCGGCGTGCTGGTGGCCGTGGACACGCACGCCCAGCTGCACGTCTACCGCCTGCCGCAGCCCGCCGCCGACATACGTGAGGACATTGCATTCGTTCTACCTTCTATATATTATAACGCACTGGGCGGCGTGCTGGTGGCCGTGGACACGCACGCCCAGCTGCACGTCTACCGCCTGCCGCAGCCCGCCGCCGACATACGTGAGGACATTGCATTCGTTCTACCTTCTATATATTATAACGCACTGGGCGGCGTGCTGGTGGCCGTGGACACGCACGCCCAGCTGCACGTCTACCGCCTGCCGCAGCCCGCCGCCGACATACGTGAGGACATTGCATTCGTTCTACCTTCTATATATTATAACGCACTGGGCGGCGTGCTGGTGGCCGTGGACACGCACGCCCAGCTGCACGTCTACCGCCTGCCGCAGCCCGCCGCCGACATACGTGAGGACATTGCATTCGTTCTACCTTCTATATATTATAACGCACTGGGCGGCGTGCTGGTGGCCGTGGACACGCACGCCCAGCTGCACGTCTACCGCCTGCCGCAGCCCGCCGCCGACATACGTGAGGACATTGCATTCGTTCTACCTTCTATATATTATAACGCACTGGGCGGCGTGCTGGTGGCCGTGGACACGCACGCCCAGCTGCACGTCTACCGCCTGCCGCAGCCCGCCGCCGACATACGTGAGGACATTGCATTCGTTCTACCTTCTATATATTATAACGCACTGGGCGGCGTGCTGGTGGCCGTGGACACGCACGCCCAGCTGCACGTCTACCGCCTGCCGCAGCCCGCCGCCGACATACGTGAGGACATTGCATTCGTTCTACCTTCTATATATTATAACGCACTGGGCGGCGTGCTGGTGGCCGTGGACACGCACGCCCAGCTGCACGTCTACCGCCTGCCGCAGCCCGCCGCCGACATACGTGAGGACATTGCATTCGTTCTACCTTCTATATATTATAACGCACTGGGCGGCGTGCTGGTGGCCGTGGACACGCACGCCCAGCTGCACGTCTACCGCCTGCCGCAGCCCGCCGCCGACATACGTGAGGACATTGCATTCGTTCTACCTTCTATATATTATAACGCACTGGGCGGCGTGCTGGTGGCCGTGGACACGCACGCCCAGCTGCACGTCTACCGCCTGCCGCAGCCCGCCGCCGACATACGTGAGGACATTGCATTCGTTCTACCTTCTATATATTATAACGCACTGGGCGGCGTGCTGGTGGCCGTGGACACGCACGCCCAGCTGCACGTCTACCGCCTGCCGCAGCCCGCCGCCGACATACGTGAGGACATTGCATTCGTTCTACCTTCTATATATTATAACGCACTGGGCGGCGTGCTGGTGGCCGTGGACACGCACGCCCAGCTGCACGTCTACCGCCTGCCGCAGCCCGCCGCCGACATACGTGAGGACATTGCATTCGTTCTACCTTCTATATATTATAACGCACTGGGCGGCGTGCTGGTGGCCGTGGACACGCACGCCCAGCTGCACGTCTACCGCCTGCCGCAGCCCGCCGCCGACATACGTGAGGACATTGCATTCGTTCTACCTTCTATATATTATAACGCACTGGGCGGCGTGCTGGTGGCCGTGGACACGCACGCCCAGCTGCACGTCTACCGCCTGCCGCAGCCCGCCGCCGACATACGTGAGGACATTGCATTCGTTCTACCTTCTATATATTATAACGCACTGGGCGGCGTGCTGGTGGCCGTGGACACGCACGCCCAGCTGCACGTCTACCGCCTGCCGCAGCCCGCCGCCGACATACGTGAGGACATTGCATTCGTTCTACCTTCTATATATATAACGCACTGGGCGGCGTGCTGGTGGCCGTGGACACGCACGCCCAGCTGCACGTCTACCGCCTGCCGCAGCCCGCCGCCGACATACGTGAGGACATTGCATTCGTTCTACCTTCTATATATTATAACGCACTGGGCGGCGTGCTGGTGGCCGTGGACACGCACGCCCAGCTGCACGTCTACCGCCTGCCGCAGCCCGCCGCCGACATACGTGAGGACATTGCATTCGTTCTACCTTCTATACCTCTATATTATACAGATATACTAAATTCATTATTGTATTATATTCATAAGCAGCATTACGCGAGTGTACGAGATAGTTCTCGCAGTTTGTTTGAACATTAAAATCTGAATGTTTTTCTGTATTTTAACCACTTCAAAAAAGGAAGACCGTATTTTTATAGATCTACATATCCCCGGCGCTAGTGGTTCGATTTCTTTTCAACCGACTTAAAAAAAAGTATGTGAGATTATCCCGCGATTAGCTGAACCGATTATGATACGGTTTGTTTTGATAAGTATATGTTACGTGTAGCTTATTATACGGACCTTGTGGAATCTAGAACAAATTTCCGTGCGTTTAGGCGCTTTTGCCATACCTATTATTAGAAGCAAGTATAACAGCTCACACATAGGACCCACATAGATTTTAGTCAAATTTCCGTGGTGCTTGGCGACTGGGCTTCACCCAGTTGTACAGTCTCTTCTTTGTGCCTTTAGGCTTAATTCACTCTATCTCCTGCAGTAATTCACCGAGGGAAGTGGAAACTATCGTCTTTTCTTCTTGTCCTCTTATAATATCTTCTAATTCACTTCGTTGCGGGAACCAAGACAGTTATTCATGTCCCTGGGACGCGCCGGACTTCAGTGTTCCGGCGTTTTCATGGTTATATCTACTGTAGATCCTGCAGCTTAAGCTTCCAGGAATTGCAGCGGTTTTGGGAGGTTGTGGTGGGCTTGTCCCATAAAAATAAAAGTATATGTCACTCTAAGGAGAATGTTTTAGTATATTAAATAATCAACTTCAAACTAGGGGTTGAAGTCTGTTTTTTAAACGTAGTTTATACAATTTTATTTCTTTTTTCTGAGGTACGAAATGTCGACCTTATGTAGCTGAACTTTCAAAATATTGACTGTTATTTTGTAACCTTATATAGCTTAGAAGTAAATATGATGATGTCTCCGCAGCGACCCCGCTAGCAGTGCAGCTAGCTACCGGAGTGCTGGAGTGGGCGCTGGTGGCGGGCCGCGACCCGCTCGACGTGCTGCTGGCCGCCGCGCCCAGCCACAATGTACTCGAGCTGCTCTATGAGAGGTGGGTACAGTGCAGCTACCGGAGTGCTGGAGTGGGCGCTGGTGGCGGGCCGCGACCCGCTCGACGTGCTGCTGGCCGCCGCGCCCAGCCACAATGTACTCGAGCTGCTCTATGAGAGGTGGGTACAGTGCAGCTACCGGAGTGCTGGAGTGGGCGCTGGTGGCGGGCCGCGACCCGCTCGACGTGCTGCTGGCCGCCGCGCCCAGCCACAATGTACTCGAGCTGCTCTATGAGAGGTGGGTACAGTGCAGCTACCGGAGTGCTGGAGTGGGCGCTGGTGGCGGGCCGCGACCCGCTCGACGTGCTGCTGGCCGCCGCGCCCAGCCACAATGTACTCGAGCTGCTCTATGAGAGGTGGGTACAGTGCAGCTACCGGAGTGCTGGAGTGGGCGCTGGTGGCGGGCCGCGACCCGCTCGACGTGCTGCTGGCCGCCATTTGTTCTCTTAAGGGAGGAAAATAATCGAATGTCTGCTCCCGCCTGGGTGAGGCGGGAGGGAATGTCAGACTCTTACTGACTTAATACCAATCGTTCCTGCACTTCGAGACGGAGCCCCGGCAACCTTTTACGTTCTCTGCGGCTCCGTGGGAAAAGTTGGCTGCGGTCTGGGTGCAGCTGGGTGGCTTGCAAAAGACTCCAGTACATCCACTGGAGATTTTTGGGTGTAATTCGATTGCTTTGAATATATTTGGAACGTTTTATGGGTGTAATTGGATTACTTTTTGATATATTTGGAACACTCTTGGGTGCACTAGGGGCTATCGTAGTTTTGGTCATTAGATGACGCAAACGAAGTTCATTTATCTAATCACTGCAGCTGTCATAGATATAACACCCAATAGTGTGTCACTAGCTTATTCCCTATTGGACGAAAAATGAGAGGTTCACATCAGCGCCATCTTTCTTTTTTTGAACCTAAACTAGGATTGTCTCCTGTGTCGTGGGTGTATTTACTAACATACAAGTTCACATACAAATGACACCCAGACACGAAACAATTATCTGTGGATCACTCAAAGAGTTGTTCCGTGCGGGAATCGATCCCGCGACGCGATGCGCGGTAACCAGTTGCCCAGCCACCGCGCCAATCATGCAGTCAAAGTCAATCGTCTGGTGAGGAAATATACAGTAGCCTCCATTAGGTGTCTTTTTTAAAACTGGGCTATACGTGGAGATGTAGGTTTAAGATAGAGTTGTGCAATTTGTATTCAGGGTTTTATGCAAGTTTAAAACACTAATTTATTATCTTCGCTACATGCTGATTTATTATCTGGTAACTGCATTCTTTTAATATTTACTTACTGAATGCTCGTATTTCCAGGATAACGGAATCGTTCCAGCGACAGCCGCCCGCCTTCCAGCAGTACTACTATCATAATTGGTTGAAACTCAGGATAGCGCTTTGCAGGTTTGTATATATATTACAAATACAAATATTATTTATTTCGTCAATGTAGGTATGTTACAATAGATGGTAGGTAATATTATGGTAGTGCCGTGCGCCACATTGTGTCTGTACAGACATACAAAATTTTTATAGTATGTTCTTAATCTAGTGTGTTTACAGACAATAATCTTCTCTGTCTACATTATGGAACATAATACACCTTAATTACAAACTAAATTAATATTAACATCAAGTTTTAATAAAACTATTATTTGTTTAAAAATTTACTCTATCAGCCGTATACTCAATTAAACTATAATAACATTTAAGTAGGTATTAACTAATTAATGGGTAACTAAATGACTAGGTTTACATTAACTTACGGAAACAACAAAAATCTTCATTGTTAACATTATAAATTTCCTCTGTCATCAGTCATAAATTCGGTTAAATTATAATAACATTTAGTTATTAAAAACTATAATTTACGATTATAGAAACGATTATAAAATTCTAATGAACTTTTATATTTTATTCCACTAGGCGAGATGGTGGTCAAACGTCGACCTATTAAATATAAAAACTACATTATTCCATTGAACGCTGTACCCACAGAATGATCCCAGGCGCCCAGAGCAGCGCGTCGTGGCTGACGTGCCTGCAGGCGCTGCAGGCGGGCTGGGCGGCCGTGTCGCTGGCGCTGCGCCCCGACGACAAGCCCGACGCCGGCGTGCTCGGGGCCCTGCTGGACGACCACGCTCACGACCACGAGAAGGTAACTTGTCAATATATCAGTAGTATCGCAAACATTCCGACAATGTTACATTCTCGTTACCTTTTGAATTAAACGTGTTCAATGATGGAAGCATTGATCGTTGAACATTTAAGTCTAGTGTGGGAGAGCCTTGCGGAGTACCTAACAGGTTACCGGGGCTCCGGCTCGAAGTGCAGGAGTAGGAACGGGGTGGTTTTTAGTCAGAGTCTGACATTGATTTTCCCCCCTTAAAAAAAGTGTGGGGGAGTCATGCTGTGCCGGCTCGACCGGAGTGATACCACCAACGAGCTGAACACCATCGTGAAAGCATTGTTTTGTCGTTTGAGTGCGGATACCGGAGGCTCAATTATCCACACTCCTTTCACCAATATCTGAATCCCCCAAAGGCCGGTAACGCATTTGTAACGCCTCTGGTGATCCAGGTGTCCATGGGCGACGCCGATTGCTAACCATCAGGTGTTTCGTCTGCTCGTTTACCGGCTTATCCCAAAAAAAAATCTAGCTTATCCCTTAGAATAACGCTGATTTTTCATTGTTTGTTTCAATCTACCTGTATTTAAAAAACAATTAAGAATAGTTTTGAATTCATTGCTGTACTGGATTGTATGTTGTATCTAGTTCTTGGTTCTAGGTCCAATCAAAACTTTGCCTCCGTTCCTAGGGAAGACACAGTATCAGTCATTATTTTCAAAGTAGGTACTTTGCGACAACACGGAGTTTAAAACTATACCCGATCTTTGTCAATATATCGAGCAAGCGTGGTGATTAATGCTCAAACCTTCTCAGTCTGAGAAGCCATTGGTCTGCAGTGACCTCTTATAGGCTGTTAATGTTCATTATGTTAACAATAAATCCAATCTTATCTTATACTTATTATATAAAGCGGAAGAGTTAGTTTTTTGTCTGTTTGTTTGAGAGCGGTAATCTCCGTAACTACAAGTCTAATTTGAATAATTCTTTTTGTGTTGGATAGCGCATTTATCGAAGATGGCTATAGGCTATAAAACATCACGCTACGACCAATAGTAGGTGAGCAGAGCGTGTGAAACCGTACGGAAGTAGCTAGTATGAAATATAATTCATAACATAGGTCAGTTGTACTAAGTCTATGTTCCCTTGAAGACATGTACGTATATCCCACAGAGCCTGCTAGCCCTGGAGTCGAAGCCGGAAGCAGTAGTGGACGCGGCGGCCCTGCAGCCACTGCGGCGCTGCATCCAACGCGCGCTGGACATCGGCCTCACCGCCCTGCTCGCACTGGCCGCGCCCCACCATCACCACACGTGGGTCTACTTTGTCAACAGTTCTGTACTGTTATCGTGAATGGAGAACGTTAATGTGACGTCAAAGACATTTAACATACTTAGATGATCTTATATATTTTTGAGAAAATTTCGTAAATTAACAGTTTACACAGTTCATTTATAAAATGTGACGTCACAAAGTTTAGGATCTCTCTCTCCCCCCTTGTGCCGCATTTCGTCGACTCCTTCCTCCCCCATAACGTGTGACGTAATTTATTTAAAAATCCTTAATTGTTTTGTACCTGTCCAGTTACGAGGTGGTGTCAGACGGCGCGGCGGTGTCCCTGCTGCGTCGGCTGGCGGGGCTGGCCCGCGCGGCCCGGCCCGCGGCGCGCGCCGCCGACCTGCTGGCGCGGCCGCTCGCCCGCCTGGCCTCCGCGCCGCCGCCGCCCGTGCCGCCCAAACAGGATCTAGTGGGTCAGTTTTAACGAATAATAATCCTTTGTTACCATTTATGTCCAATAGTTGCTTCTTATCTGAAAACCGCATCAAAATCGATTCAGCCAATCGCGAGATAATGAGAAACATACATTCATACATACAGAATAAACCGAGAACCTCTCTTTTTTGAAGTCGGTTAAAAATAGGGTACACTCATATAGTTAAATGTGTAAAATATATAAGGTAAATGTAGAATATGGACATGGTGTGAAACAAATGGTTATTATTATTTATACATATCACTTTCCAATCTCCTAATTTCTAAACAATAAGTATAGAATGTCAGTTCTACCAAGGGAAGAAGGTTCTACCTGTGGTAAAATTGCTAGTATCCGTGAAGTATCTGTTTTTAAATGGGCAGTTGCAATTTTTTAATATCTTCTTCAAATTTCTGCCCTCAATATTTCCTACAACAATCTTTAGAATATCATAAAATAAAGTTAATTAAATTAAATTGACTAAAAAGTCTTCCTATGCTCGTATAGAAGAGTGCGCACTACTAGGCACGCAATGGACGGGCGCGCGCGTGTGGGAGTCACTGCCGCGCTGCGCCGTCTCCGCGCCGCATGGCAAGCAATGGCCGCTATACGTACGTACTACATATTTCATTATTTTCATTGCTAAATTAATACTTAATGAATCACAGTCATTAACGACACAGTGATTAACGTTATGATAATGTTATGTTTAAATAGTATTGTAAAAAATGTTTTCATTCATGTTTATTATTTTTGACAAATCATTCTAATTTCCCGCCCAAACTTTTAAAAAGTATTGATTATTACAAAGCTAGTGATGTGATGAACAACATTAATTATAATTAGTCGATTATTTATGAGGATACAATTATATATTTTTAAATCGATTTTTATATCAATTCAATAAATTTAATAATATGAATGTTACTTATTTATATTTTTTATTTTATTCTCAATTAGTTGGAGTATGGTGTGGAGCCTGAAGCGTTGCGATACAATCCTGACCCACCAGTTTACGCACAATGCGAGACAACACCTTCCATTACTATGGATGCAATACGGTAATTAACTTATTATCAGTGTATGTAGCTGAGTGTAATATATTTTTTTAATTATTATTTTCTATGTGTATATTTTCTTTCCAGCTACATGTATGTAGGCGGTGGTCTCCGACCAGCTCGATGGCGACAGTGTGGTCGCTGCGGTTCACGCGCTCTCGCCGCTTCGCAACCAAACAAGCATCCGCTGCAGAGTGCTTATGATGGACGATTTCTGGCTGACTGCAGGTAAAAAATCTATTTATACTGTAACTCAAATACTAAAGGAAGGGTTTTAATAGAACTCTAAATAAGTAATATTTTGTGTGTAAATATTTGACACAATGTTAATGTTATTCCTCATTTGTTACAGATGCGGTGGAAAATGGACCTTATTTTCAAATATATAAGACTCTCACTAGTTTTTAAGCTATAAGAATAGCTAAGATTATGAGATATTGTTGTTGTAATTGTAAATAAATTATTTTATACTTTGATGATTTCGTTATTTATTCTTAGCAACCCACATATTATATTCATATGACAGCCATAAATATGCTTTAGAACAAAAACTGTTTGCTCCAATATTCAAAACACTATTAAACGGGCCCGCTCTACTTAGAATATAAAATAAAACAGATACGAAACCGAATCTTATCCTATATAAAAGCTGCAGAGTTTGATTGTTTGTTTGATCGCGCTAAGTACTGGTCCGATTTGAAAAATTGTTTTGCTATGAACATCACGGTACGATCAATAGAAGCCGAGCAGAGCGGGTGAAACCACGCGACTAAGTAATACAATAAAAATAAAGCCTAACACGAGACCGAACCTTAGACAAGCTAGAACTAACTTGAAGTTACAGACTCGAACAAAGTATAGTATTGCCATGAAACATTTGGATCAAAATCAGTTTTTAATCATACACAAAACAATATCATAAGATTGGTGTTCCATTTTATAGTTATGCATATTATTCCGTAAAATACAGAAACCACAATACGAATAGTGTTGGTAACCGCGTTTGTTTACATTTATACAACATGGCTAGGTATGCAGTGCCACCGCCCACTGCACTCTGCGCATGTCATCCTGCAATTTGTAATGTATAGCTATTGTACAATAAACAGACAGCTACCGCTTAACGCCAACATCGATCGATTTACGACGCGATTTACGAGGTCAATTAGAGACGTAACTGCCATTGTTTTGTTAATAGTTTGTCGTTATTTCTAGATCAAAGAGAGTTGTAGGTAGAAAAGCAAAAGGACCTAATTACACTTTTCGAATTAGTAACTATTGGAAATTCTGTAGACAGAAATAATATATTAAATTACACTTCACAAAGCTATTTATAATGACAACTTCTTATTGTTTTTGCATTTTATGCAAATAAATTTAATATGCAATAGGTGTAAAATATTGTAAGCAACAAAACACATTGCATTGGTGGATGTTTTTATAAAATTAAAATAATATTTATTTATAATCGACTAAAACTATTGTGTTTATCGATTGACACTGAAATGACAGGACCATCTTGACATCATTTCACTTCACTAGTTGTCGTTGCGAGAATCGTTGCGAAGCGTTTGCTGCGACTGCGTCCAAGTTTAATTGCGAATTTCCTGTATTTCTCGCAACGTAACACAGTTTATTAACGTTTTAACCAATATTTACATAGTAAATACATAAATGGCTGACAAAAAAGGTATTTATACTGTTGATTTATTGTTTTCTTTGTTCTTTTCTTTTAATACGTTTTGACATGAGTAACGTCACGGTAGGGCCTTGGAATACAAGTTTTCGCTAGTAAAACAATAATTTAATCCCCCGACACGAGATTATTGCGTCGGAAGAGGGTTATTTCGCGTTGATTTATCTGTAATATTGATATTACAGTGTTGCGCGATAGATCGATACTCGCTATAAATTCAAGATGGTTGACCACACTTAGATTCGCAAGGCGGGATCTATTTGTTCTAATTTTAGGTCCATTCATTACTAGAACTGATTCATGAGCCCTAATTACTCCTGCTAATGGGCGCTTTCAGCAATACTCTACGATGGGACCTATTTAGTTGTCTACAACATGAACATCTGTTGTGAATTTTAGCTTTACTCCCTACCTACCATTGCAGAAAATATGAAGTATTGTCAGCAAGTTGGCTTGTAATCCTTGATCGATTTGAGCAGTAAATATTTTATCTCCTGTTGACCTTTTGGGAAGTAGGTCAAGCAAGTCATAGCTGTGCCATGATAGTTCAAACATTACACTCATCTGCATAAATAATTAATTATTCAAACAACATGGCTCTTGTAGGACAGAATACAGACTTATATCTTGAGAGTAATGACCCATTTCTAAAAATACAATTCAATATCATGAAATTACACAAGACTGAGAAATCAGAACTTAACTTTTTCCCTAAATAACATCTCAAACATTTTAAGAATTTTCAGAGTAAACTGTTCTTAAAAATGAGATCTATGAATAAAAAAATGAGCATTCATTTTATGTAAAGAATTTGATCGTTGCACATTTTGGTGTGTTTGTATAACAAATCCATTCAACTATCAAGTATAATGAATTCTGTCAATTCTTAGGAAAACAATAGAAAATAGCACACCACTCTACATTGAGATGCTGGTTACATAATGTGGCCAAACATTACAGATAATTAGATATTTAGTATGCAACCTTGTGACGTTACTAGTGTCAGAACAAGCGTCCAACTCCATACAATAAGCTTTGTAGTTCCATTACGTTCCAAATATACAAATATTAATATCTTAAAGACACCAGATATATGCAGAATACATGTGTCGCAAAATATCGGCCTAACGTTGGCTGTGCAATATTTGACAAATATTTTACTGTGCCAATGTCTATTGGTGACCAATATTGGTTGAGGAGAGACCTCACTCATATTGCTGAGAGAAATGATGACTCATCATGTTGGTCCATTATTGGCTCTGGTATAGTTTGAGATCAAACTTGATTTTGCATCTTAAGTTTCTGCTCTGCATTAGCTTATTATTTCCGAATGCTTGTTCCGTATTGATCTCCAGCCATACTGGGTAGTACTGAGTAAGTAATGAGCAGTTGTTGGTCGGTATGGGTGAGGTCTCTCCGGCAGAGAGTGTAAGCCAGTGCTGAGTGTGCGCGGCATAAGACATGATGATAATACAAGTTACCCACGCCCCCTCCCACTCCCAGCCGCTGCCCCCCCTCTACAGGAGCCGCGCGTCCGTCGGCGCAGTCGTCGCGCGCCAGTCGACTAATCGCTATCATGTAATGAAATCATATAGAATTTTTCTTTCTTTATTTTTCTTTTTTTTGGAAACATAGTTAAAGAGAGACAAATATATGATATGTGCGTATCGGCGTGTGGACGATCGTATGTGTTATTAATTCGATTGTAACCCATTCGTTGGGGCTTGGCTGCCATAATAGCAAATACAAAAACATAGCTAACAATACAATTATCCTGTACATTTGTCTAAATAGACTGATCATGGAAATGCACAATAGTCAATACAGTTTCATCATAGAAAAGAAACCTTGAAGAAAATTATAGCAGTCAAGTCACTATTATGTTTTTCTATACAAATCGGACGAGTATCTATGTTTGAGACAATACAGTTTTTGCGGATACATGTTTTTGTGTACAATATAGTAATATGTTGGTTCACAAATCCTCGCGGATGTTAATGACTTGAAGCTAAATGGTTGGCTGTACAGTAGATGTCTTTGGCTTGATACTATTTGTATAGTGTTATGAGAAACATCCTGGATTTGTGACTAAAAGAAGAATGAAGCATGAATACTCGTCCGGTGTCCTAGTTAACCATGTTTAAAAAAATAAGTTGTTCTAAGTCCGAGAGAGTTCTATCTAATAACAGATATTTATTGATATAATTATATTATGATGGGACTCTTTTATTTTTCTTTTAAACCTGTGTCTTAGCTATCTGGTATATTTTTTTTAGTTCTCAATATTTAGTTCACAGCTTATTTTTTTATTGTTTTTAACACTCAGTTTTACGTTGTAATCATTGCTGAGTTTGTTTGGCTTGATATTTTTCAACTAAATTAAATTATAAGAAAGCTGTGATTACAACTGGTTCTGTGCACCCTAAGTAACGATGAGGCGATGTTATATTATTTTTTTGTATTTTTTTTTAAATGAATAATATTCATTGTCTCACAAGTTACAAAGCTTCCCTATTTTTTTTTATTTGACCTAATAGGGATGTCTTGTGTTTGTTTTATTTTCGTTTTTTCTTTATTTAGACTAAGCTAACTTTTTAGCGTTAATCTTTAATGAAAATGAATGACGTTTGAATCGAATTAAACAGAAGTTAGAAAAAATCGTCATTTTTTTCAGTTTTTGTTCTAGATTCTTAAAAAATCTAGTGACAAAAGGGCACAAAAAAGCTAGCTACTTTTTGTTACTGACAAATAGATGCGATTTTTACTTCCTTACTCAGACATAAAAAAATCTTTAAAAAGGTAAAAATCGCGTCTCTTAATGTAAGGTCGTGTGTTTAAAGACTAACCCAAGTAGATGCAAAATAGTAAAAAAAATTTTTTTCGAAATAAACATAAAAATTGTAAATAAAAAAACTATTTTGCATCTAAAATGTTTACAAATGTATGTTTGTGGACATATTTAATGTAAGGTGATGGTAAAATTGGCAATAACGGTTAATTTATTAAAAAAATGTATGTTAATGCCAATTTTTCTAGTTGTATGTCTAATTTTACACAATGTTTACTAACATTTTAGATGACGTATCTCTAAATACTAAATCTAAGATGTGACGTTTAATCCTTGGTTTTTTAATTATTTATTTATTTAAACCTCGGGCGAAAACAAAGGATTTTGGGTCAACACAAACCAATATGTTAACAGGAATGACACAATGTTAGTGCGTGTGTGACTAGATGTAAGACAACAAATAGATATCACCAATTAAAATTGACACGAATAAATTATTCTTTCATGATTATTAGTACCAGTCGTGGCCCGAAACTTGTCGAGAATACTTGAACAATTGTGTTACTGAGCGAAAAGTAAAAACAACACCAAGTTACCCTTAAGGGTATTTTGAACTTTAGATAACTTTTTTTGATCATATACTTGTTTTTTTTTTGTTGTGTTGTGGTGATGTGTATTTGTAGACTGTTGCCTTTACAACAGCACTGTGGTACAGGCAACAATGCATGCAAACATAAGCTTAACCGAAGGACAGGGAAGTATGCCAGTTGTGAGGGCCTCAACTATCTGGCGGTCAGGCCAGACACTATCACGGACCTCACGTTTCAACACCATAAACTAGGAACCACATTTTTTACAGTTTTTATTTTTATTATTCTTTTTCTCAACTTATTTTGGTCTTCTCTATTCTTTGAGTCTTTTCAGGGATCCGGACGTTGATTTAATTAAATTTTAATTCACAGCAGTCATAACATTGCGTTCTGCGGTTTGTTGTTATATCTATTGATATGGCAGTAAACTACCCTGCTTGTTGCAATTCTATAATAATTAAGCTTTTACAAACATTTGACAGTATTTTGTGTTCGGCCATATTGAAATTTTACTACGGTTACTTATTAATTTGAAATGAATTAAAATATAAGTAACGGTACTTGCATTGATTTCAGTATGGGCTATAATTTAGTAATTAATGTTTAGGTGACGGTTGTGTCCAGGTTTTTTGTGGTTTGCGTTCATGAATTAACTTGTAATATGAGAATTTTGCTGTTTGAAAGCAGTTCGGTTGTTTTTTTTTGTAACAAGCATGCGGTCACTGCGTTACGTTTGAAGCTTTTCTTTGTTTGATGTTTTAGTTAGTCTGTAGTATACGGTTGCATTTCATAGTGACATTCGTTTATTTTAGTAGTTTGTTTTTGCATGATTTATTTGTGTTACGTTGTGTTGTCACTCTGCATGTTTCTGTGTCCTTCAACGCACTGATATCATAGCTCTTTTTGATTTTTTTGCTTTTCCTGCATCAAAATGCTTCTTTAGATTGAAACAGCAAAATATCGTATGCATAAAGAAATACAACAAAAAATCTTGGTACACTTGTTCAATAGTTAGTAAATGAATAGAATATGAATATTTTTTTTTATTTAAGGAATGTTCACATCATGTATACACGTTTGGTCGTTTTGTCGATCAATTTCTATGACTCTGAACTTGAGTAAGACATCAGAAAAAAATATAATTATATTGGCTCTTCATAACTTCGTAATATAATAAATGGGAGCTTTCTCAATCCAAGATGGCCGCCCCAGGCTGCATCCAAAGAGTTCAAGGTCATATTATAAATAAATATTGTATTTTTTAAAAGGTTCCTTATCGTGTGATGATTGTTTTGTTATTTAAGAATTCGTAATGACAATACTCGATGGTCACACTAGCTCTATTGCACAAGGCTTGATACAAACCTTCACTGATTATGTGCACAGCTACAGATTAAAAATTACAAAAAAATAATATATTTATAGTGGCCATCATTTGGAAAAAATGGTGGATTATGCACAATGGTCGATTTAAAAGCGGATTTTTGACATAGTGGCTTCATATACTCAGTGCAGCTAGGGTGACCATTAAAAATAAGGAATGCATTGTAAATAACTGATTTGGTAGGCTTTCAGCACTCACTCCGTGTTGGAACATAACACGGCCTACCAAATTGACTGTATACGTTTCTTCGGAGGGGAAATTTAAATATTTTTTCTTTAAAAGATATTTATATTTGTCGCGCCGAAGTGTTGTCGCCTTGACGGGGCTCTCAGGTTGCTAGTTCAATGTGTTGAGAGCCCGCGTGTGGGCACCGCGTTGTATGGGCATCGCTTGTCGTTAACACTGACGTTTGTGAATTTTGCGTGGGTGAAAACTTAGAAATAAAGTTAGGAATAACTATGACACTGCATAATGTATAGATTTTTTGGTTATATTTGTGAAATTTTGACGTTTTTCACCCACGCTCTAGTCGGGTAGACAATAATGCTATAGTCGACATTGTCTCATTTTTACATTCCCCAGTAGATATGTAAAAACGAGACATTAAAATATCATTACTATAAAAAAAAACTAAATTCAAAATTGCCACTGAATTACAAACCTTACGGCTATAGTATTTAATTTGTGAACCCGACTGCACCACTGCGTCCAGCGTGAATGCTCGGGCTTGGGTTGCGGCGCGCAATCGCGCGACTTCGCGTCACACACACTGACGTACGAACACACCACTATACTTTATACATGGGTATTTTAATTCCTCTCTAATTACAAAATGATAGTTTGGGTGACAAAATTGAATTGTTTAATCATTCTTCTTGACGTATATTAAACTACCCATATTAATTTCAAATGTGGTACGTTGTGTCCACGCTCGGTAGTGGTGTGTGTGGTCAGTGCGTGTGTCGCGGCCCCCCAGTGGGGTCCCGCGTTAGAACTGAGTGTTGTTGCAGTGACCCCGCCGCTGGGCGCGTATCCTCAACCGCAGCCCCCTCAGGGGCCCTTCCTGCCGGCACCGCCGCATCAGGCCGCGCCACAATATGGAGGTAAGTCCTGGATCTACATTTTAATAACTTAAAATTGGTCGTGTCAGTGTGTTTAACAAATTTCGGCAAATATTGATTTTAAATCAACTTCCACTGGTCTTCTTTTTTCTTATTTTTGGAGAGAACCCTTATGAAGCAGGAGTAAGGTGCGAGATTTTCATTACCTCATTAAAATTACTTCGGTGGCCACGTATAAAGGACACTGCATCGCCAAAATCGATCAATTCCAGAGCTTCATAGTGTAACGTCTGTTAATAGAGTTAAGATAAACAGAACACCATTTTTTATTGTAATGGTGGCCAACTAGCAAAATGATCAGAAGCGATCGGCACACCCGGGAACACCCGTAACATCAGAGGAGTTCCAAGTCCTTGGCAGCGTTTTGAAAATTGGGGATGGGAGGATAGGTTTTTCGCCGGCATTCAGTGAGGCCGTGGTATGAGTCCGGTGGAGTCGACACATTCGTGCTGAAGTATGGCTGTCCCACTTACCATCTGTCCATTTGCGTCATGTTATTTGTATGCACAGTGGCGGGCGGATCTCCATACGGCGTGACGTTTGGCGGCGCGGGAGCGGGCGCCGGCGGAGTGTACGCGCCGCCGCCGTATGAACAACTGCAGCACCACCAGGCTATACCTGCGCTCAGTCAGCAGCTGCCGGTCAGTAGATAAGCCTACATACTAATATAAAATATGATAAATACTATAGTTTGCGTGTTTGTTACTACTTCAACCTCAAAATAGCTGAAGAGATCGAGATGAAATTTGGAACAGGGGTAGGTGTCGGTCTGGCCACATAGAACAATTTTCATCCAACGAAAACGCAAATATGCTATTTGTATGTTTTTCAGGTTTTTCAGGTTTTTCAGGTTTGAATAACAGACGGATCACCTGATGGTAAGCAATCTGCGCCACCATGGACATTCGCAACACCAGAGAAGTTCAAGTGCGTGCCCGATTTTTTTGTTGCGGTATCCAAGACAGTTATTCGTGTCTCTGGAATGAGCCGGACTTCAGTGTTTCGGTGTTTGCGCGGTTGTATCTACTGTAGATCCTGGTGCACAGGAGTTACAGTGACTCTGGGAGGTTATGGTGTTGTGTCCCTGTAAATAGATTGCGTTAGCGAGCTCTTGGGGTATTGGGAATGTTGGGGGGTGAAATATAAAGCAAACGTTCTTTCGGTTTGCTGTGAGGCCGTGGTATTATTTAGGTCGAGTTGGTTTATTCGTTCCGAAGCGTGGCTCTCTTCTATGTATTTTCTGGTCGATAGAAGGCCGGTATTTATGTCAAAAATCGAGAATAAAGACCTCTAGGCCATTAGAACATCGTCTTCCAAATGTTTGGTGTCTTTTTCTATCAGAACAATACTTAATATGATATATTTCGACTACAGATGTACAGTCCGGCGGCGGCAATGTACGCGGCGGCGGCGGGGTACCCCGGCTACATCGGGTACCCCGTACAGTACTACCCGTACTACCCCACCGCCGTGCAGCCCTCCATACAACCACTGCGACCCACCATCATGATCCCTGTGAGTATTACTCTATGATTAACTTCAATATCCTAATATCACCAGGTACAAATGTAGGAAGACTTTTTGTCCAATTACAGCAGTTGTTAAATATTGAATATCCAATAGCGTGAGATCGCGCTAAACGACTTGTATAGCTCTGAGGCCTTAGTACGAGTTTCTTTTTCGTTGAAAGTAATCGTAACGAGTACGCGTTCGGCGCTGTGATTGGCCGGCTCTAATGAACCAACCAATCAGAGCACAGAACGCCGTCTCGTTTCGATTACTTTAAACGAAATAGAAACTCGTACTAAGGCCTCTGTTTCTTTCCCTCAATGGAACGATTGTGACTTTAGGACGTCATAACAACCCCGCAGGTTATTTGCACCATTATAAAATTTCAACAAGAAAAATGCTAAAAAAAAACTGAACATGCTGCAAAAAGGCTAGTGCTCAGCTAAATACCGTCACAGATGGACTACGAGCGTCCTCTGACAGTCCTCTAAGACTTTGACATTATCTTCATCCCCATGCTTGGCAGGAGAGTTGAGGATCGCAGATTAAAAAGGAGTGTTAGTGCTTAGTTTTTGAAAATCTGACATCACTACTAAGATTCAACTACACAAAATGTTTATAGCGTATCTAACGCTTTTGGTATTTCTATGCAAAACAAACTTGTCGAAGTCCAATTTCAATACCTACATGTTGTTTCCAATAACTTTGTGCATATAAACATAAGTGTTCCACAGGGTTCGCTATTGGGTACATTTTTTTTTGTTGTATTGACTTTGTTTACATTTTTATACAGTGTGCCGCAGGGTGCTATTTCGGGTCCAACGCGACTTTTTCAATACATAATTGTTATAGTTTTCGCATTCCAACTCTATATAGTAAAAACAAATGGTAGCCTTTATGTATTTACATTACTATGTACTTTTATTTACTTTGAAAAAAATCAGGGTGTGCCCCAAGGTTCGATACTGGGACCAATCTACATAATTGTTATTGTACTGTGTACAGAACGGTTTCGAGGCGGGCGGTAGGTTCGAGGGCCTGGCGCAGACGCTGCTGCCGCCCGCGCCGCCCGGCGTGCCCCCCTCCCCCGCGCACCTCGCCGCCATACAGCCGCATCAAGTGCTGTGAGTATCATTGTCTAGGATTATTTAGTCGGATACGTGGTGAATTCTATAGTTGGGACAGTAGACGAGTAAACCACGATATAATATCGCATTTCAATACATCATTGCAGCAGAATGTAGGTTTGAAGACGTAGATGATATTTTAAACTTAGATCTTTCTACATTAACATTCTGAAGGAGTGGATGCTCATACCAAATATGACACCTAGTTTTTGGCGACCAAGTTATAAACCTACAGAATAAAGAGTTTTGCAACATATCAAGTCGAAAACTGAAATTAGAATTGAAATCAAGAACACTTACTCTACAGTCAACAGTTAAACATTATAGCTTCAACCATTCCACTGGTGCTAAATGTATTGTTGATCTAATCATCATAAGATCAGCCACAAAGCGCCCTCTGTTAAAGTTAAACTTCCTGATCGCTGAACATAGGCCTCATCCAATGACTTACAAACCGGTCAGAATTGAAATATTCCCTTATATTTTGCAGGTGGCGTTAAACAAGGCCGCGGTAGCTAGCCCGACGTTGGAGATCGCCCGCAATACTACATGCCTTACCTCAGTGAGTGGACACTACCTCACTCACTCAACACTCACTCAGTGAGGCGACTGATCACTCATTCCCACTCACTTGGATAAAATCACTGATTTATTAAGTAGAAAGTATTATTAACTTATAAAATTGCCGATTTTTTAACGAAAGTTTCGTAGCCAAAAGGCTAGCAATGCATTAGTAACTCCTCTGGTGTTACGGGTGTCCATGGACGGCGCTGATTGCTTGCCATCAAGTGATCCATCCGCCTTATCTTATAAAAATTGGCAATTTTATAGGTATACAATATCTAAGATACTAATGGCGTAATCATAGTTAAAAACACGAATATAGAAAAGTACGTTTTCTTAGATTTAACATAAGCTTTAGACAAAGTGGTTCATATGTAAATGTCAATCTAAATAAAAATACTTTTTTATTTAATGTTTCTATCTGTTATGCATCTGTAATCAGTGATTTTAAAACCTAAAGTGAACATAGAATTTGTTTTAAAGGAAAATAAACTTTATAGTCATAATAATAATGTTCATAATATCACAAGTATTGTTGTTCGAAATATATGGTTGCTATATATATGTTGTAGATCTGTTATAGGATATATATAAAGTTAGTAGTAGTTTAAAAAAAACAGTCGCCTCACTAAATTCTGTGATTTTACAAAAAATCTACGGGAAAGGAGCTATTTGTACGTAATTATGTACTTTTAATTTTTCCTGTAAAATGTATTTATTAATTTATACAAATACAATATAATTATATATAGTTATAGACATGAAATTCTCTCCTATAACTTCCTTTCAAAATTTTCCGTGTATAGATGGCGTGAGCGTAGGTTTAAGTCCTTTAAGACTAATCATTATGTTATTAAATGTAAATCAGACTTAAAACGATGCCAGCGCCTCTATCACAGATGCTATCGTCTTCAAAAATTCATCTTATATTTATTCCAAAAAGATATTGTATATGGACGTAACTACAATAATTATATGTATTTGTATGTTTGTGTGTCTATGAACGAGTGTCTTATGGGAGACATATATAAAGAATATATACAGACATAATTATCTCATATATAAAAATACATTTTCAATCTTATATTTTCAGTATAAAGTTGAATTTTTATCAAAATACCTTTATGTACTATTTCCTAAGACATTGGTTCAAGGAATGATAACTTATATATATAAATTATATATGTTAATAATTATAATATATAATTATCATATATTATATAAGGGCGTGTCACTACGTCGGTGCCTAGCCTGAATATTGACTGTGATGACGTTTTCACTCGCTAACTTTGCCACCACTGGGAAATAACCTTGATACCATCGAATAGGTCTTAAAATCGAATAAACAAGATCTTTAATATACAAAATTGAGTCTTATAGTGTTAGGAATAAAGTTTAAAATGATCTGTTATGAAATATATTTATCAAAATGCTCTCTAATTTAGTTTTTAGTTTTATTTAAAAATAATTCGATTTTGAACAAGATCTGAAGTTTATACAACAATAAAACCCCCCAAAATTACACCAGAAAGCTACTATTAAACAAATTCAGTCTTTAAAATTAGCCATAATCCCCGCTTTTGACTATTAACCTGGGGATTATCATTCACCGAAACACTTCAGCTAGTAGCAAACAGCTATCAGTAAATGATCAGTTTTACAATAGAAATTACTTAAAAATGAAAGAAAATGTTAATAACTTGTATTGTGAAAGTGTGTGGTGAAGTTGTCGAGTGTCTATGTAACAGCCGTGGGCTGTCGCAACGCTATAGTATTAATATCGCCGACACATGAGTAAGACTAGTTTAGATACGGCGGCGGCTCGGGGGTAGGCAGACATCTATCACAACACTACCATATTTTACGTACACGTGTCTGAAAACCCTCTATCAGGATAATTCTGTGTGTTATAAAATATGAAATTCAATATAAAATACATTTGAAAGTCAAAATACTTTAAATATTTCTTCTACGTAAAACTCTGGCGTAGTCAAAATCAAATAAATTATTTCAATTATGACGAAATACTGAAACGCTACTCAATTTTAAGTCGCGCTTAACTATAGTTCTGTCTCTACAAATTCTTTGTAAAATGACAGAGATGGCACGATATTTGAGCACGACTTAAAATTGAGTAACGTTTCAGTATTCCGGCATTAGATCATTACAAAGCTTTTATCAAAATCAAAATGTTATATAAATATTCTATATCAGTCGAAATTATTAGCTGTCAAAACCGACTAATTCAATATTTTGAACAAGTCAGTTTAAAAGTTTAATAATTTGATAATGTTGTCTAACCAATGTGGTATAATTTTTAGTACATTTCGGAGGACGGACGTCGGTGATCGGTCGTTATATGCATAATACTAACTTCCGTACAAGTTCCAAAAAAATATTAAGGAAAAGAAAAGATATAAAAGTTTCCATGCATATCTCAAAAGCCGTATTAAATAGTTCTCGATTCAACAAAATTATTTTCTTAAATATAATTTTTCAGTTTTAATACCTTATACGTATAATCATAAGGTTCTGAATCGTAAAGTTTGAGGTGACGCACAATTTATCAGAAGGGCCGCCGCGGGATTAGTTATTATAAATAAATAAATAAAAAATATAAACAAAGCGGTTGTGCGTGACGCGAGTGAGAATGAGTGAGCGAGACGGACATATTTCTGTTTGTTACGTTTGTAAGGGGCGTGGTCGGGGCGGGGTTATCAGAAAGTTACTAAAATATTGTTAAAATAGAGATATAAGTAAAACGTGTTTGAGAATGTCCATTTTGCGTGTTGAACAGACTATTTGAAATTATATTCGATAATAAAGTATTAAAATGTAATTTAGTTCCCTGCCTACGACCCTACGAACGCGGCGCAATGATATAATATGTATATTTCAGCATGATATGGTAGTTTAAATCCAAACTCGTTTATTCGTTCAACTGCCATTTTCTCACATGGCAACACTAGACAAGTGTTGCCGCCTAAAAAAACAGTATTTTTGAAAATACAAAAATAAAATATTCTTTAAAAATATTTTTACTATACAATGCCAAATATTGTGTTGGCAATACTGTTGCTTGGTGTTGCCAGGTGTGAATATTAAATAAACCGTTAGATGTATATTTCTGAAAGACTTTGGTTTGTAAGCTTGGTTCGTTGTAGACGGACGGAAGAATCTCAATTTATTATTGTTTATATTGTGGAAAGGACATTGAAACTTGTATTTAGACAGGTAATAATCAAGATTTGTCATAGATGATATTAAAATTAAACGAAAATAAATTTGGAATGTCAAATAATGACGTTCAATGACTTACAAATATCGTGAGACATACTAAATTAATTCTATGTTTTTCGGTTCACTCACGTAAGTGTTTGACGAGGTACTTGACTAGTTTCAAGCCATTCAGTAGCAGCGCGACAGTCGCCGCAGTATGCTGCTCAGGAATATAAGCCTCTAGCATGGCTTGATGCTAGTCGATTTCAAGCAGTTACATGACTAAGCCGAAAAACATAATCATTAATTAAGAATATCATAATCTAAAAGACCTATTTAATCTATAAAATATATATTATCTAAACACATAAAGATTCAAAAAGTGAATACTTCATTACTATCATATATTCCTAATATTGAATGAATGTCCTGTCCTAACTATATGTTACAATGTCCAATTCAGAAATCATTTTACTATAAATGTGCAGCAGTTTGTCTCTTACAGTAGTGCGAACTGATTTAAAATTACATTTCCAAACATGTAGGAATTTCCGTAACACATAACATAGCTATTTGAGCTATGTATAACAATAATATTCACGTTTTTAATTTCTAAGATTTTCTTCAAAGAACATAAGATTTTATTATAAAAGAATATTAATATTCGTTTTCACCAACAACCCCTAAACCAACTCTTAGCTAAAAGTTACTTAGCGTGATGTACCTCCTACTTGTACTGTTGGTGAAAACCGTGTCGTTTGTCACCTTTCTTTTAACTTAAGGGTCTCTTAAAATTTATGAGAAGATGGTAAAAACGAAAATTAATGTACTGAATTTAAGTCTAAACTATAAAGATGAAGTCTTAGTCTATGATGAGTTTTGTAAGTGTAATACGGTAATTCTGTACTATCTCTCGAATGATACCTAAGTCAGTTTTTTCTACATTTTAATTCCACTAAGCGTTTCGGGACTTACAGTAGCTGACAAATATATGTATACAAGAAAATATATTGAATTATCTCAAAAAATGGTTAATGATATCAAAAAATCTTACATATTTTTGTCTGTAACTGTAATTGAAACATGAATTTTTAATCTGCAATCCCCGTTACGCAATATTATCTCATAAATAATAAATAAATTCAAAATATAAGCGGACAGTGTTATTAAACACTAAAATAAACCGAATTCAATGATTATTTTTTC